AAACACTTAGGTAATATCCACTTTATATACGATTATGATTCATCTGGCCAGATCTCAATGACTTATCAAGACTGTAGGGTTGAATACAAGTTGTTTGCATGAGTTTGTGCATTACTACATGTAAACCGATTGAAGAATTGGCAACAAGGCTGACGTTGGCTCTTTACCAAACCTTAATCTCCTGAACCTTGCATTTGGCGTTGATTCCTTCACCTTAAGCGCCCCGTGGTTCCCTTGAGGTGCCAAGCGAACGAAACACATCAACCAGACAGCAGGATCGAACTGCAGAACTCACCAAATCCACAACCACTGCAAATTGACTCGATTGATTCACGCACCAATAATGATCGATTTCAATCACTGAGTATAATTGCTGTGCCCTGTTGAGCACCGTTTCGGAACTATTCATTTGACCAACTACCACTCAGAGGACAAAACTTCCAGACCACAACAAAGACGCTACAAGGCGTATTTGTGCATTGTAATAGTCTCTTGTCCCCACAAAGCCAAGCGGTACAGAGGAGGCAGACGCAAATGCAGTGAGCAGCGAAAGACCTCGAGTCAATTATCGAAAAGTCAGTACTCACCATATCGGAGTGCATTCATTTGACGAAAACCGATTCCCCACCTTAAACTTCTCCCGAATCCAATTGATGAACTAGTTTAGGACTCTCTGTTGTCAAAATCAAGGGCTGGACCAGTTGACTTTGACCCGGCACTTAGCTCAACATGGCTTATTGCCGGCGCAGACTCACTGACGAACAACGTGAAAGTCAGTTCTCACCATGCCGGAGTGGACTCATTCGAATCCCTCTTCCTCTGTCCATCGAATGCTTCAGCAAATAATGATTGGTGCTGGCATCAAATTATTCCAATGCTAAAGGCGCGTCGAGGTCCACGAGGAGCGCATTTCAATGGTCGTGTTGTCGTTGCAGGCGGACATCCTGGCGAACGCACCACCGTTGAGAGCCTACAGCCTCCCACGTCCGACCACACCGAGAGTTACTGGACCGAGTTGATTGGTCCAGACATTTGCAGCCCAGATTCTCAATCATTGGCAGTGTTCAAGGGAAGTCTGATGCAATTAGGTGAAATGGTCCCTGTTCTTGGCACATCTATTAAATGGGTGGCTTTCTGAAGTAGAAGCGACAACAAGCATTTGATAA